CTTATCCCCCGCATACGTTCGATATTTCGTTCACTAACTCCCCCGTTCGTTACTCAGGTTCTGGTTTCATAACATCAACGCAAGCCCAAGTTCGATGCTTGTACCGTCTTTCCTCCACCATGACCCGCACGACCCGGCCACTTCATTCCCTCGTGCATCGATTCACGAAGGAAATTTCGTCATTGTCTAATCCTGTTAACGAACTCGCCTCCATACCGAGCTCACTGGTCGAACATCGAATCTTTGCCAGTGGCCGCAGGCAGACCCCTCATACATCGATCGTCTCATCGATTGCGCCCAGCTATGTGGCTTTCAGTCATTCGCCCTCCAAATGCTCGCGCAGTACTCAGAGCTTTTCGGTTACCTCATCCCGACGCTCTGTGTGTCGTGGCATACACGGCATGCCACTCAATGGCCCCAATCTCTGCCCGTGATACCAGCAATCATCACCTCTGAACTCGGCGTTCACACCGCATAGATTCTCCATCGTGCGTATCCATCCGCAGCTCGTCGCCGCCACGGGCGGCCGCAACGTCACACGTACGGATGTACCCACCACTGATTGGCTTCTGTAAGTTTGGATTACGCGTGGCCGACGATGATGGGTACTGACTCCTGCCTTCTTTTTCAATAGTTCTGCGGCCACTAACGAACTACCAAGGGCAAGTGCCTAGGGTGAGAAACTCATCGGAGGGCATTCGTCTCTTCTCGCGCGGACGCCGACTTCCATGGAGGGTGGGGGGGCGTGGCTATTGCGCATAGGTCGGTCATGCTTGGATGCTTCGCATGCGTCGGGTTAGTGCTCACAACAATTGTCCACAGGTTTGCTTGGGGTGCGTATGTATGCTCTGCTTTTGCTCCAGGGAAGGAGAGGGGGCGTAACGTCTGGTACAGCCTAGATCTTGGTAACGGTATTCGATGGTGTAGTGGTTTTTTTGGCTGCAAGCCCCAGTCTCTGGTTTGACACGCGACTCTGAAGCTTCAACGTCGGCAAAGCCAAGACGTTTGACTGATTTGCTATTACTTCCTACTCCTACAAGTTTCATATAACCTCTGTCGCGCAAACAGAATTTTATGTTTTGTATATAGCGCGGGAGTTGAACACGATACGACATGCTACAGATGGCCCATGGGTCCTTGCTGCGTAGATTCTGCACAGTAAATTGTTTTACGACCTCTCGAATAGACGCTACCCCAAATTGGACCAACTTCCATGGGCTGAGAGTCTAAGATACATAAATGCATGAGAAAGGACGGAAAGGGGGAACCAAAAAGACGGACCAAAGGAGGGTGAAGAGTCCCGTTGCGAGCGTGAATGGCGTAGCCAGACGAGTTGAACAGGCACCAGTATCACGCGTTTCAAAATCCGGAGGCTCTTGGTGATCGTTGAGAAGGGTAGTCTTTCTGTCAAAGGGATTTTATTGTTGGTACCATCGGGAAACAATTCAAGAGACTTACCATGCAGATAGAAGCCGTCCTTAAATTTCATGTACAAAGTGAAAGGGCAGGAGCGGCTAGTCGAATCCTCCGTTGATCACCAACGGAGGTGAATGTAGCGGCTACAGGGAATGGAAGTCGAACGTTGAATACTGGAAGATCGAAGATCGAGGGAAGCGAATGCTTACCCCAGTCGAAGTGACACAGGGCGTGGCGCTCTCCAAAAAGTTCGCTACCAACAGATACAACGATCGCTTTTGATCGCCACTCCAAAACCGCTCTCCTCTCTGCTATCCTCCATCCAAGCAAGAACGAATACGCCACCCAACATGACACCTTCCCCCACACGTACAACCGAGACTCTGTCCTCTTCTCATTCTCGCCATGATCCACCCTTGTATGTGCAATTCACATCTCAAGGGACGCTAGACGTACCAGGTACACTCTTCATGAGCCAAACACTTTGGACTGTGGGACACGTTAGGGCTTTGGCAGATCGGATGAACGATGTTGAAAGGTGGTTAGTCGATTAGGAAGCTGAAAAAAGACAAGGACGAGATATCCAAATCCAAGTTGCGAAGACACGCGGGTTCGACGGAGAAATATGAAAGATGAGATGCACAACCTCCGAGACAAAGTCGTCGAGCTAGGTCGGGAGATGGCGAAAAATCGCAACGGCCCCTCATCATCTTTCTGCAGGACGCAAAACGCACAATGTCAATTGCACTACAAACCACTTCCTCCGACGTCTTCCATTGCAACGCACTTGACTGGATCGCCGTCAGGACCCAGCACACCCATCCAACATCCCAGGCTATCATGTACCACTGCAAGGGAATCGACGAGCCCTCCGATGACTTCGAAGAGGGGAGAGTCGGGCACGAGGTTGCCTTACCCTGTGTGAAAATATACTTCTCCACCTGATGCGTTCTTCCCCAGCAACTCTCCCCCTTCGTCAATCAGTTCCGCTATGAGGCCTTTGTCTACAACCATCCCGGGGTTACCCTTCCATTCATCCTTGGGTATACTACTGGGTGCTTCATATTCTTTCACCTCATTTTCTTCACTGGCTTCAGGTGCGTCCCCGCCTGCTCAACCCAAGTTTGTGCCCGCTTGTGCCAATCGAACGGCCAGCCCAACGCCCGCACCAGCGAAAGGACGAGGAGCACAACAAGGATTGCCGCCTCCCCCGAAATCGGCTGCTGGTAAACGACAAACGAGTGTAAGCCCCATGCCTAGGAAACGGTATACCGTTGCGCTAGGAGGGCCGATAACTGCGCCGCCGGATGAGGACGAGTTTTCTTCAAATGCTGCTTCTTTGTTCTATACCACCGCCGCCAATACCAATGTGAATCTCAATACCCATACGGATTCCCCTGCTACTGCTCTTTTATTGAAAAGGGTAGGCACACCACGATCCTACTCCCGTGTGATTGGGGGGTCTTTTTCTGTTTCTCCCGTAGGGGACGATGAAGATGACAAGAAGGAGGAGGAAGGAGCAGGTGAATTCGGAGAAGGTGAAGAGACCATCGGCAAATCTATCGGCATCAAGCTCAAGAACGCGAATGGGAGTCTGTCTTCCACCACCTCAAACTCGATATCACCTGGTGGACCTGGGGGTGGCGATTACAAGTCCACCGCCACGACCTCACCATCGCCATCCACTCGTCGGATCAGGGCGCAGAGTGCGTATGGGTACGCCAGCCTCCTCCCTCCTCAGACTCCATTACAGACTCCTACCATGGGAACCACCGCGCCGCTAAAACCGAAGTTGAGGTCCCGCTCTTCTGAGCGGCTTTCCTCTGGTACCAGCTCCATTGGGACGGGAGACGGGATGATAAGTGGTGGTCTTGGAGGAGGGGGTACCAAGTTCGTGGACCCTTTGTTGTTGAGGAGGCACCAGCAAAGTCAAGAGGGGTTACAGGTGAAGATGCCCATGCCGAAGCCGGTGGGGAAGGTTCCGATTGGGCAGTTGGTTGCGTTTTTTGATGGGGAGAAGGGGGGACATAGGGTGGGTGGGTAGGGGAAGGTTTTTTTGTTTTGTTTGGAAGCGGGATGAATGGACGAATGCCTGGGGGTGAAGGAAGGGATGGAAGAAGGAGAGAGCCTAATGGGTATGGATCTGAAATGACTGATATGCTATGTACCTCTGACTTGCTTTACTTATACCCTCCCAATGATATGAGAGTCCTGATGCTTGGTTTTTATATTACCTTAGTTTTTTTTACTTCAATGCCTTTTTTTGTATATCAGATCTGTGTCTTGATGATGTGTTGTATTTCAAGTTGGTGATACACACCATTCAAAAGTCAAGCCATAAAAAAAGAAAAACAAAGATAGGGCTGTACTGCTCAGAGTTGGTGGTTAAACATACTGGTACCATGCACTTTCTCTGACTGGCTTTACTTATATACAGCCCTCCAATATTATAACAGTGCTGATGCTTGGGTTTGTCGGACTTTTTTTTTCTCGGTTACAACCGGCCGGCGTTGCAATCACGTCAGAACGCCGGTTTCTTCCGGGTTTCAACCCAAAACGATCATTGCAACGGTGTTGACTCCTGCCAAGCCGGTTGAGATCGGTCCGTAGTTATTGCTACCGATTTCAACGCGGATTGCAACCGCATCAGATATCGCGATAATAGATAACAAACTGTTGGTTCTGAACCACCACCATCTTGTTCAGATGCTCGAGTGTGCGACTTGCGGGTCTACATTCAATTCCCAGCGTGCCCTCGGGGCTCATAAATCGACGTGTCAGAAGCCAAAAGAAAAGGTTAATTGCCCAAGGGGGTTCAGGGATCTGAATGCTGGACCGGGGGTTGGGTAGGTTGGTTGGCCATAGGCCAAAAAAAAGATTTTTGGAACCCTCTACAAGATAGTCCTAAATTGGTTTTCCAAGGTGATTTACAGTATTCCTGCATCTAGAATATCATTGTATAGTACATTATCTTGACTGGATATTATATTTCATTATATCCAGCCCAATTTCTGGCTTCAAAATTGTTTTTCGCAGTCTAATCATCATCAAATTTTTGTCTAATGTTTTAATCAATCACAATTTACTGACAAAACAGTTAGAGACCAGTTCTTGACACCAATTGGTATGCTGTGTGACCTGATTTCAAAACTTGAATCATCTTGATGCTTTCGACACATCAGACACTCTAAACAGATGCCTGTGCAGTGTGGTATTGCACTCAGGATGCAATGGCTTGGTAAAATGGTTGGATGTGAGACTCAACAGGTGAGTATCAGTCTTGCACAAGTTAATCACTACACTCACTTATTTTTTAGTACCACCTACAATGTGTTGCATTGGAGATAGCCCCACGAAATTGGGTATGCGAAGCCTTAGAGGATGAGAGCGATCATGATGATGATGTCATATTGCCATATATAGGCATGTGCCTGATTATGTAGGTAGGTAGGTCAAGCACACAGGGCCTTACAAAAAAATTCCACCCCAGCTACTTTTTTTAAATTCTTGAACCCCCTTGTAATTGCCAGTATTGTAACTTGCCCTTTAACACACGCGGTATCGGAGCACACCAAACTTCTTGCCGACGAAAGCATGAGAATGACTTGAGTGACAAGGCTTATGAAAAGAAGTTGAGGAAGCAAGAGAAGAGGAGTGAACGGGGTGAGTAGATAATCCTATCACAAAAAATATCATTATGAAGGTATTTCTTGCTAGATGGGCTTATTTTGCGTGGGAGAGACACAATCATGCAAACAAGTCATCAACTATTGGGTACCAAATGTTATTTCTCTGATCCTCATCATTTTATTGATTTATAATTTCCTTCAGATATTGAAGCTCTGAATCAGCCAGATGAAAGCTCAGGATCTAGATCAGTCATGGTCACAGGCATTGACAGTGAACCTGCTC